TCTTAATTAAATCACCCAGTCTGCCTAAACAGAACATTGCTGAAATACACAAAATCATTTTTTTTAATCAACAGGTTGTCAGAGTAGGATTGTTTTATTCAGAAAATTATATATTGGAAACAGCAGAAGTTGCTGAGAGAACAGAATGTATTTTGTTGTGAATTTTTTCCCTAGCTAGGGAAGTGAGAAAAGAGGAAGTAAAGGATTCTAGGAACCCGCCTTCAGCACCCAGCTTCACCTGCCAGCCAGGCGGCTGTGAGCAAGTTCTTAGTCTCTTTTTGCCTCAGTCCTCATCTGTAAAATTGAGATGATAATAATAGTACTTACCTAATAGGATTGGTATAGATTTAAATGAGTTAATTCTTACAAAATAGAATTGTGTCTGACATAGTACACACTCACTCACATTTAGCTATAGCAATATATTATTATAATTGTTATTACTATTATTAGATATCTTACATTTGAATGAGAAATTGAAGTTTTCGAAGCCTTTTGTCATTCATCCTCTCATCCTTTAAGCAGCAGTGTTATGAGTCCACGAGGGTGACTACTTATTATACCTGTTTTAAGGATGAAGTCACTTGAGCCCTAGAGAGGATTAGTAACTTGCCCAAGGTCACTGAAGTATTTAGTGACAGAGCTGGGAATCTCATCTAGTATTGTCAGTTGACCCTTTTCAGTAGCCTGAGAAGCAGGACTTTATAAACCCCAGAGAAAGCATCACGTTTGAGGCCTATATAACTCCCTAGTTACATTGTGAGTTTTCTTCTTTGAATTATACCCATGAACAGCTCACCAGTGGTTACTTGTGGATGGCTTGACAGTGTGTTCATTTTATCTAAAACTCCAGCAAAGTCTAAATTTTAACATTTCAAAGCAGAGGGCTAGCTATATTAAAATGATTGTGTCCTCATCCAACTTAACTGTATTTGAGGCCCAGTTCGTGTTCACTATATAATATTGAGTCACTTTTGTCCTTTTGTAAAATGAGAATCATACTACTTTGTTCCCAAATTAAGGATCTGGATTCATTAAGCTTGCCTAATTGTTTTCAGATACAGAATCTGTAATCTTGCCTAACTGAGGCTTATACGGGAAAAAAAAAATCGAGCTTTAGAGCCAGACAAAGATGCATTGAAACCTGGCTCTGTCACTTAACGTTTTGTGGCCTTGGACTAATCAGGGAACCTTTTTGAATCTTTCTTTTCTCATCTGCAAAATAGTCATGTCAGAATATATGCTTTGGGACTGTTACAAGGATTCAAGGTAACCTAATAAAGAGCCTGGCCTTTGGGAGGCACCCAGTGACAGTGGGAATTGATGCTCTGGAAGTTCTACCTATATAGAACAGTGGAGTTGTACCTTCCACACCAAAGACAGAGTGTGAATACATCATTGGTTTTTGCAAAATCAAAATGAATATAACCTAGAGCTTTGCATATTAGAAAAATATTTGAAAAGATATATAACAGGCAAATTTATTTTTAAAAGGTTTACAAAATGGTATCTGTATTAATATCTTGGTAATAGAAAATCAAGCATATTTTGGTTATATTAGATTCTAACTTTTTACAATGCATATGTCTACTTTTATAGCAGTAAAGGGTTATTTATTAACTTAAAAACTTGTTTACATTAAAATAACTAAACACAGTGGGCTGGGTGCAGTAGCTCACACCTATAATCCTAATACTTTGTTATGCTGATGCAGGAGGGTCACTTAAAGCCAGGAGTTCAAGACCTGGCTGGGCAACATAGTGAGACCCCCATCTCTACAAAAAATAAATAAATTTTTAAAAACACAGAAAGTAATTATACCATGTTAACATATGTGTTCTCTGAATGGATGATCACCCCTCTTCTTTCTGCTTTGCCAGTGTTCTACAATTAGTATGTTTGTATGAATAATGGAAAAGACGAAAATGTATTTTTCTTTTCCTTTTTTTTAAGATGGAGTTTCACTCTTGTCGCCCAGGCTGGAGTGCAATGTCACAGTCTTGGCTCACTGCAACCTCTGCCTCCCAGGTTCAGGTGATTCTCATGCCTCAGCCTCCCAAGTAAGCTGGAATTACAGGCACCCACCATCATGCCCAGCTAATTTTTGTACTTTTAGTAGAGATGGGATTTCACCATGTTGGCCAGGCTGTTCTCTAACTCCTGACCTCAAGTGATCTGCCCGCCTTGGCCTCTCAAAGTGCTGGGATTACAGGCATAAACCACCGCACCCAGCCAAAAGTGCATTTTTCATGGGCATAATCACTACCCCAAAATGGAATCTACGGTACATTAGAAGTCACAAAAATATAAATTCTTGGGAATTTGGGAAGATGTTTTAGGACCAATAGATATAATAATATTACTAATAATAATAGATACTGTTTATTGAGCATTTTCTATATGAGGCTCTTTATTTGAACTTTTTCAATGCATTATCTAATTTAATCTTCACAACAGGTTAATGAGATTGAGTTCAGTTGAGGTTTAAGATTATGTAAATTACCAAAGGCAGGACTCAGAACTTAAACTTGTGCTTTCAACGGAAAAAGAAAATCCTTATTATGTTAACAAAGAAAATCTTCACTTATGCTCAGCTGGGGAAATAAAACTTTCCACAGAATTTATGACCAAATTCACATTGGATCAAGTTTTCTCAGCTGTTAGCTATAACATCAACTTAAATTCCCACTCCATATTTCTGATTTTTTTTTTTCTAGAATTTCTTTTAATTGGGCAACTTGGGGGCGAGGGAAGGAATGGGGATGGTTTTAATAGAATATCTTTTTCTCAATTTAGGCTTAAAAGATAGCATAGGAAAAGAAGGGGTACAGGTAACATGGAGGGAGAGGTTTGTTGAGTAGAAATAATGATACCGGAAGCTGGTTTTGTGCACTCCAAGTCTGGAGGTGATGAGTAGGTAAATCTGCTCCTCTTCTATAGTGGGTAATGAGCTTGGTGACTGTTCTCGGTTTAGCCTCTGTTTCCCAGATTAGGAAGAGATGCTAGCTTAAATTTGAAGGAGGTCTCATATATGAGTTTTCATAATGATTAACCCTTTTTTTTCCTAAGAATTTCCATATTCACTTCTCATAAGTTGCCTTATATCTTGGGCTTTTGATAGGTTGGCTTTATCCTGTCTTTGAAGTGTACTTACTGATACAAAGTACCCTTCTGGAAGTTTGATCTTTATTTTAAAAACTATTTCTGTGAGCCCTTTGGGAGAAGGGCAGGCAGTAGCCTAGCTTACTCATCATTATATAAAAGCAACTAGCAGTGTGGGTGTGGTGGCTCCCTCCTGTAATTCCCACACTTCAGGAGGCCAGGGTGGAAGAATCGCTTCAGCCCAGGAGTTCAAGACCCACCCTGGCAACGTAGTAAGGCCTCGTTCCCACTGAAAATAAAAAAACTTAGCCACATGTAGTGGCATGCACCTATAGTTCCAGTTACTCAGGAGGCTGAAGAGGGAGGATGGCTAGAGCCCAGGAAGTTGAAACTGAAATGAGCTATGACTGCACCACTGCACGTCAGCCTGGGTGACAGAACAAGACCCTGTCTTAAAAAGCAACTAGCATGTGTCATATTGTTGGCATTTGATACATTTTTGTTGAAGCAGTGGATGAGTTCTTACTGCAGGCAAGGAAGGACACTTCTAGGGTTGGAGTTGCCTGATGGTAGCACAGGTTGCTTTGGAAGATGGGACATTCTGGGCACGTATGGACTTGGGGGCATTTGACCATGGAATTGTGTGTAGGACTGAGTGATGTCTAAGGCTTGTTATAAATATGAGATTCTGTAATTCTGTTTCTCTAGCATGTGTCCAGAGGGAAGAGATATGAAAAGTTAATTGGAACTGCAGATTATCCTGGAAAGCCTTTGTTAGCAACAGTGCTGAATTAGGTTTTGTGTCAGCACTGAGAGCAGAAAGGTTTTCCCCCAGTATCTGGAGTCAGCATCAACAGTGCTCATCCTGAGAAATGATTCCTTTAAGTCTGGACTTCAGTTCATCTTCCAGATTTAGGCTGAGCCCCAGGAAGGAATGATGAGGAAGAGAAACTGTTCTAGTGTTTTCAATGCTAAGAAAACTAGTGTGAGAAGTTTTAAAATAAGTCAATTCATTGGCATCCAAGTTACAAATAAATTTACTTAAGAGCCAGAAAATAATGTGACTCATTAAATATATTACCTTAAATAATTTTAATTGGTCTCCACGCACCTTTTATGTTTGCTGCTGCATTCTTGAGGTCCTATACACTATTACTGATCTGAATTTTGTTCCACTTATATTTATGACAATTAAAGAAGGTATTAATTTTGTCCAATAAGCTTAGAATTTCTCAGTGTCAGAAATTACAAAATGGTGGGCCATAGGCAAAATCTGGCACAAGAATGTGCTTTGTTTGGCTGTACAGTATTTTGTTTAGTTTTGATTTAATTAGTTGCTGTTATTTAACATTTTGGAGATTTTACCCAAAAATTCAAATTTCTGATTTCTCTCTCAAAAAGCAAAAATATCAGATTTGGCATCACAGCATCATACTTCCTACACAGCAGTCATTATCGGTAGCTTGGTGGCTGCATGAAGCGCGTGCCCCCCACATCACCACAGTCATTACCATCTCTTGTTACTTTACACCCTGCTTACATCTCTCATGTGGGGGGCCTGTCTGGCATGTGGGGGCCTTGGAGTTTGTGACCCCGCTCTATGTGTAAGGCTCACTGGCAGGTTTTAAGTCTGTAAGTAGCTATTGTTTCAGCCCTGTGGGGACTGCTGAACAGTGTAAAGTGTTTCATTGGATTTGGGCAGAGTGTTGTGCCTTCAGGATAATCCTGGCCAGGCAACTCTGTAACCAGAGGGAAGAAGAAAAAATGTATTCATCCTGTGCTACGCTGTTGGCATTCAGGAGAGCCCTAATCTAGGAGATGGGGCCTGAAGTGCCCTGCAGACTGCTCTCTTGCCTCCGCTCATGTTTACTTGGCACCTGTGCGTGGGGAAGCGTCCAATGGAGTGGCAGAGGCTCAATGCCATCCATTCAGACAGCTTTCTGAATGCCGGCAGCCAAGAGACCATCAGCTGTGCCTGTGAGTAGTGTGGATCCTCGCCAGAAACATCTAAACTTCAAAGGGGGAAAAAATTGTACTATGGGTCGATGTGGAAAGCTTTTGGTCTTCTTCGATTTTGCTCATTTTTATAGAGAGGGAAGATGGCGTGAAGCATTCTGACAGACTCTACCTGTTTTTAGGTGCCAAGATAATTAAGCTAGAGTAGCTGCATTGAAAACCTAACCATGAAAATAAAATGAATACAAAGAATTTCTATTTGGTGTGGCAGCTACCTTAGAATTAGGGAACTGTGAGAGAAGATCATGGATGAATCTGATGGCAGATTTCATTAAAATTGAAATTACATATTCACGACTAATTTTGATTGCACCATTTCTAAGGGCTTACAGTGGTGGGGGTGGGGGTAGGGATCTTACGACTGAATAACCCACTCTTTATTTCTAAAGAAAAAGAAATTATACTTTCATTTTGACTTGAAATTTTATTCTCGTGCTGGCCCAAGACTGAAGTCTGATACCTGGAAGTTATTAGCGGCAAAATGCCCTGTTTTAAACTCTAAACCATCTATGATCCTGAAGACAAGCATCGCAGACCAAAGCTCTCTTGAAGCGCATCTGGTGCCCCTGTCTGATTTGGTGACTTCCTGAAGACCACCATCATTTATTTTACATTTGATTCATTTTCTGCTATGCTTCCTTTCCTCACCTGTCTGTCCCTCCTGACTTTCAGATTTCTCTTACTCTCCTTGACCTATGCTTCCCTTTATCCTTTTCCTGCTGCTACCTTCCCTCTCTCCTCAGACCATCAGTCCAGTGTCTTCTGTTTTCATCTCTTTACTACTTCCGCCTCTTTCCCAAGACACAGGGAAATTCAACAGAAGGGAGTACACTGTGTGGGCAGAGAGCTGGGAGAAGAGTTTAAGTTAAAAGGCAACATTTACATTGTAGATGCATAATTAGGGGAGAGGTGGTGAGAGCTATCTGGTGCTGGGGATTTGGATGGAGGAGGACAGTGTTTCTCTAGCAGTACACTGAGAGCTATTTATGCATCTGATCATGTTTTAAAATGAAACTCTTCCAGATAAGAACAGCTATGTAAAGGGGTGGGCATGGCAAAGGCAATATTGCTAATCATATTTGAGACCTTACAGAGAACTTACAGAGAAGTAGAGGTATGAGATTAGAAAATGTTAACATTTTCATCATAGTATTTCTGCAGTGCTGCTTTGTTGTAACATTTAGTATATTTTTAAAGAAGTGTAACTTTTCAAAGTAATTTACAAGTTGAATAGACCATAAAACAAGTAAGAGTAGATCAGTGTTTAAAATAATTTGTAATTTTAAGCTACTTTCATTCAAAATTTAAATCTTATATTGAAAGGCAACTTGGATTGCATCATGGTACTCACAAATCCTTCCATTCCATATCCTTGGTTTCTACTGAATGTAGCTGGAACTGCCCCCTCCCTTATCAAAATTAACATAAAACAATGTTAAAAATCTATTGTTCCCGATTTGGCAGGAAATGTCATTTCCTGATAATTTCATTAGTTAGAACATAAATCCACAGCTATCTTTTCTAAATGTGCATAATTTGCATTTGTTTGTAACTTGTTAAATAAGTTGAAGCATTTCCTGTAATAAGTGAACAAAGAGCTGAATCAAGATAACTTCCCATATCATTTTAGAATATTATTTTAAAACCCCCCAATAATTAGCCCAGCCTCTGCCTACCTAACCACCCAGTGATACAAAGCAAACCACCATCCTTTTAACACCCCAAGCTCTCTAGACACCCTCAGCCACTCCTTTTGCCCATAGTACACTTTCGGAGCCCACCCACAACTTGCCAAATTCCTACTTTTCTGCTAGCTCCAGTGTTACTCCAGAGCCTTTTCTAATTTACCTGGGCAGGACTGTTGTTCCTGCCTATGTGTTCTCATAGTACTTTCTTCATGCTTCCATGATAGGGCTTATTACCTAGCATTGTAAATGATAATCACTATAAAACTAATAGTTGCATATTTTCCTGTCTGTAGACTAGGAGGTGACCTGGGAGACCCCAGGGTCAAGAAATAATGGATTTTTTTTTGTATCTCCAGAGCTTACTACCTGGAAGATGCTCAGTAATGGTTGTCAGATGAGTAACATAAACATTTTTATATTTACTTGTTCTTTGTTGACTAGACATTGTTTAATGAACATTGTTGAATTCAGTTTTTTTTTAGATTATAGAGGTAAAAGCTGGAGGTTTGTGCAGGACTAGAAGTATACTTTTATTACAGAGTTTGGCTCATATCTGAGGATGAAATAGAAGACTTACTGTTAACACAAGTTGTCTGTCACATTGGACATTTTCTTTGGTACTTTGAAGGGATAAAATAATGAAGAGAATTAACATGTCTGACAATTTAAAGCTAGTTAATGGTCAGTACTTGCTAAGGCCTCAAAAATCTTAAAAGGTGTGTATGGGTGTAAGGATGTGTGTGGGGCGGTATAATTTTTTTTTTTTTTAGCTGAAAAAATAATTGCCATCTCTTTAAGGATGTTGTAGCCTAAAGCCTAAAATAAAAAAAACTTTTATTATTTAGAATTGCGGCTTTCAGTTGTAAAATGGATGTTGAGGAACTATGAGAAACTACACTATTCTCTGGCTTCCTTTTTTCAGCTTCTAATCCAGAGTCCAGGTAGTCCATGTGGACCAGAGGTGATTGGAGCTCTCATTTATTGAAATATAGTGAAATCAAAATAAGAAAGTTGCCGATAGAAATCCAATCAACATATTTAACAGAAGCCAGGTGTGATGGCTCATGCCTGTAATCCCAGCACTTTGGGAGGCTGAGGTAGGAGGATTGCTTGAGCTCAGGAGTTAGAGACAAGCCTGGGCAACATAGCAAGACTGCTTCTTAAAAAATCTTTAATAGAGGTATAAAGAAAATTTAAGTGAAATGATTGTTTCCTTTGTCCGTGTTTTAGATTAAGGTATTCTCTTGTGGTAAAAGTAGATATATAAAATATACTTTTGTTTCAGAGATGTTTAGAATATTATGATATTCAATTGATATAACTGGAATTCTTTTCCACTGCTGACCAAATGAGATGCTGTTTATGGAAGAAACCTTATAGGATTGGAGGCTATAAGGAGCAAAGAATAAAGAAGAGATTGTAATGCAGTGGTGGATTGCAGGAAGCAGGGAAGGAAAACCATTTTTCAAATTAGCAAAATTTGGTGCCTAAGTCCATAGGTGCATAACTAAGCATTTTGATAACTTTTATACTTATTGAAACAGACATACATCAGAGATAGCTGTTAAGTACCTACTATTTACTGTGTGGAAATTTAGAAACATGTTATTTTTATTCAAGGATCTTATAATACGTTATAGTTCAAAACTTTATGGTAATTAGACCATAAGAGCAATAGTACAGTAATGATCTAAAACAGTTGACCTAAATGCATAGTTTCCTAGAAAGCCATGACATTCAGGAAGTACTAGGAAATTAGTTTTAGGCATTTAGCTAGTTTTTTTTTAAATTGAATTTTTGGGGTTATTTCGGCTTTAAGTAAATGATAGAAGACCAGGCGTGGTGGCTCATACCTTTAATCCCAGCACTTGGGAGGCCTAGGTGGATGGATCACCTGAGGTTGGGAGCTCGAGACCAGGCTGGCCAATATGGCGAAACCCTGTCTCATACAAAAATTAGCCGGGCATGGTGGCAGGTGCCTGTAATCCCAGCTACTTGGTAGGCTGGGGCAGGGAGAATTACTTGAACCCAGGAAGTAGAGGTTACAGTAAGCCAAGATGGTGCTACTGTATTGCAGCCTGGGTGTTGGAGCAAGACTTAGTCTCAAAAAAGAAAAAAAGTAAATGATACAAATGACAGTAGACACTTGGCACCTAAACTCTTATTTGCTCTACCAACTCTCATTGAATTAATACATTCTAATATATTCTAAACCTTCTAATAAACCATCTAGAAGGACAGGCCGGGGTCACTTTAGCTTGCTTTGCATAATTACACACTATGTGTAATTGCCGAACATTGTAAGGTTGCATTGTGGTCTCTGGAGTCAGACAAACCTGAATGGGAATCCAAGTTCTGGTATTTATTAATTATCATACTTTGAACAAAATACTTACGTTCTCTCTGCTTCAATTTCATCATCTCTGTAATAGAGGCACTACATAATAGGATAAAAATTAAATGAGATAAACTGTATCAATTACTTACCACAGAAACTGAAAACATCATAGGAAATCAATAAGTATTCTCTTATTAGATGTAAATGTTAAATTGCTTAGGAGTCTAAACTATTTTCTAATAGACACTTTAAAGTGGGAATTATTATAATAAGAGAAATAGCTTTAATTTGAAAAAGACTCAACTTGCAATTAACTCAATACAAAAGGTTTAAACTAGTTCATTCTTTTTTCTCTTTTTTCTTTTTTCCTGTCCAATATTTTCCCCAAAAAAGTTTTTCATTCTTAAATCTTACTCAGAAAAAAGTGTGTAAGCTTTGATGTTTATTCTGTGAAACTTCTTGTTGTATTGTATCAGAAAAAAAAGTCAGTGTTTCACAAATGCCTTGAACCTTTGTCAGGAACACAATCATTCCAAAATGTAAATCTTTGTACTTTGTATAAATCAATGATTTCTACACACTGCCTTTCTCTAGTAGGAAAAATCAGTCTACTAATAAGATCTGAAATGTCCTTGCTTAGTTATGGGCAAGTTAATGAAACCCTGCCTCCTGTGCATTCTAAATAAAAGTACAGTAGTGGATCATTCAGATTTGCAGTTCCTTCAACTGCCCTTTCCAACAGTGTCATTAAACTGCAATCATTCATCACTCTAATTTATTGCTTTTTATCCTGGCTAGTTTCATGTGAAAAAAAAGGGCAAATTTGTTTTTCATATTTTAAAAATGTTATATCAACCAAAATATAATATTTGGCTTTCTAAAGCTATGAAAAACTGGCAGTTTTGTAGTAAGCTTTTATTTTAAAATAATACTGA